GCCTTGGATGGGCACGTGAAGAAGTGCAAATTGCCGCTCGGTGAACCACTTTTTTTTTGGTACCCTTTGGTTATTTAACATAGCCATGGAAAATGGCCCATTTATAAATGGTTTACCTATTAAAAATGGAGGATCTTTCCATGGCTATGTTAGTCATAATCAGAGGGTAAATCATTGGATGATGGGCTTAAAATCAATGGTTAACCATGGCACATTTTATAACCTTATCCAATGGTTATGAATCATTGATGGTTTTTGAAAGGATGATAACTATTGGATAAAGTTACCTGTTGTTTAAGATAGTTTAAGATTGGTAAATAGTGCAATTGCCGCTAGGTTTAAATCAAGGGTTAATAGTAATCATCATTGGAGTTTGACCCTTAGTGCAGGAACTATCTGCTACTGCACATAGCTTAAAAAACCGGGTGTGTGAGCCATGGACGGGTTAATAACCATTGGATAAGGGTGAATTTACCCTATAAGACGGTTTAAACCCATCATTTACCATCAAATATAGAGAGTATGATTGTACATACCTTTCAACATTGTTGGTATCAACCTTTGGTATTTGCATATGATGCTTACTAGCTATATTAATTATAGTTAATTAATATGGTTTGTTTATACAATTATTCATGTATGCATTTATTCAGTTATGTAAATATATATATATATATATTATAACTACATATATGAATTTAGATATTTATGTATTCAACAGAAAATTGGATTCAACTAGTTATAGCCTCTAGTGTTCATGTCTGGAATTTCTCTAGAAATCAACGGGGAATCATCCAGAAACGGGAGGATTTGGGTGATTTTTCAAAATTTTTCAGCCATCTTCAGGCATTTTAAAGGGATCACTGAGTATCCACAGAATCATTCCGCAAATTGCCAAGTTCGTTTTGGGATCTACATATGATCGTATATTACCCAGATATATCCAGATCTACGTCACCATCAGTTATTGATATAGATACTTGATTACTATCATCTATTCTAAATTACTATTTCATCACGTATTTTTGATTATTAAAGATTATCACTATTTCTTTACATGTGGTTGTTGGTGCTTGAGTATTTTTTGTCATAAACCTTTATAATGATAAAGGGTCATCTTTTGTGGGGCTTCTTGGATCGACATTCCCACGGATGTGACCGAGGAATCGTGTAGGTAAATAGGGATAGTAACAATAAACAACCCCAAAAAACGAAGAGTATGGACATATCGTGTAAATAAGACATGAAAGGAAGAATCATATTCAACGGATGAAAAAGGCACCAACTTTGGGATTTAGATTTTAGAAATGGTGATTTAACCAAGAAACATGGTGGTAAGATTGGAAAATCATGTATTTTTTTCATTGGATTAAACCTACCAACCATTAGTTCATAGGAACAATGGTGGTTTACCCATTGAAATACATGCCCTTGCTGCACATCACCAGGCTGACTATTTGGTTTAGAGTATATCAACCATTACACATACCCTTTGGTCGTTTAACATAGCTATTGAAAATGTTGATTTATAGTTGATTTACCCATCAATAGCATGGTGATTTCCAATACTTATGTAAACGTTTCCAGAGGGTAACTGGAAGCCATCACTTTGTGCCCGGCTGCATTTTTTGGTGAACATGGCAAAGCGGCATAAACCTATCAGGATGGTGCCCCCCAGTGATGTTTGTTGGTCTATAACCCCAATTGACTATAGTTACCTATAGTTATATCTACTATAAACATCTATAAACTTATAGTTATATCTACTATAAACATCTATAAACCATAGAATTACTTCACTTATATCTCAACTGAACGCTATTGACTGGGGGCCCCACTTCTGGGTGAAACATGCAATGCTTTCACCCGCCTATCCCAAACGCCTCCAGGAGCCCTTTTCGCCTATCCCGGGCGCTGGAGCTTCTCTACCTCGTTGGGCAGGGAAATGCTCATGCACAGCAGGTCGACTGTGTTGGGTGTCGAGTTGGTGACAGGGCTGGGTAAACTGGGAAAACCATGGTAAAATATGGTAAAATGCTTTGGGTTAACCAGTTAACCATGGTTTTACCATGGTTTTACCGATTAAACATGATGAAAATCTTGGTGTAACCATTAAGAATGATTGCATTCTTTGTGATTGAACCATCAGACATGGGGAGTTAATCAACAACAATGATGGTATCATGGGGATATCATGGAACAAAGTAAGATATTGATAAACATGCGATACATATTGTGTATATATATATGCACATATATACATAGGGATATACTAAATACCTTATAATTATAAGGTGATTTTTTCCATCACATATCTTTTGTTCTAATGGGGATCTAAAGCAACTGGAAACGAACCGATCATGTGTATACAACCCATATGCGAACCATGGTGCTGGTGTATAAGAACCTGCAAAACTGGTTGAATTTTGTTCGGGCATATTCCAGCACCATGGTTCGCATATAGGTAATAGATATAGCATGATGCCAAGATCGTTGAGCAAATTTCATGATGGGTCTGTGACTGAATAATTCGCGGAGCCGAAAATCCAATGGGGTTTTATCAAAATTGTACAGACAATTTGCACATAACATTGCCATTTTTACAGGTAATTCTCATATAATATGTGTTTAACATGTTCATTTCGGCTATATCAGAAAAATATAATACATACAACAAACATTGCCATTCTGGGCTGTATTCAATTTTTCAGCAAACCTTTGTGATAGTGAACCTCACAAGAAATGAGTTTAAAGAAAAAAACGTTGGTTGAAATGTGCAGACCAAGCGCCAAAAGTGATAGTTCATTTGACCTCAAATCAGCCGTTGGACAGGATTGATGTCAGCAACTTACGTGTGTGGTTGCTGAAGCGATCCCTAAATCAATGGATTGGCTCAAGGGAAAATACCGAAAACCATCGATTTTCCCATGAAATCTGAGGCTTTCCGTTTTTCCTTAAACCATTTTTCCTAAAGCAGTGATCCGGGACAGGGCCGCCAGGGTTTTCGGAATCCTCCATCTTCCGAGAAAATGCTCAGTAGTTCGGTTGCTGGCCGAAGATGTTCATATTTTGTTGATGTTACCCATGACGAATAGCCGTCGCAATTTTTTTAGGGAGATTGAACTGTGATTTTTCCATCATGTTTGTAACTGGTTGGTGGTTTGGAACATGAATTCTATTTTCCATTTAATATATGGGATGTCATCCTTCCCATTGACTTTCATATTTTTCAAGATGGTTATTGCACCACCAACCAGTTATCCATCATAATTATCCATCATAACTATGGAAAATCACCATTTTCAATGGGGTTATACTACCAGTTATATGGGGTTATACGACCCAACCAGGTACTGATTAGATTTTTCGATCATGTCAGCCTACCAGGAATCTTCCAGGGAAATCCATGGTGGGTTCACCGGGAACTGCAGCCGTGGTGGTTTAAACCGGGGTGAACCCGATGATTTCCACCGTTTGGAATAGATGGATCTACCCTGCGGTCACGTGGCAATTGAACATCCACCATTTACCCTCTGGTAAACATACAAAAAACTATGGAAAATCACCATGTTTAATGGGTAAATCGACTATTTCTATGGCCATTTTCAATAGCTACGTTAAATTACCAGAGGGTAGTTCGATGAAATTGTTTTTTTTACAACTCTGATTTAGAACTATTTAGTTCGGGGATTTTCCATGATTTTCCAGGCACCTTTGATTTCCAGAATTTACCATACCTTGACCCATACTTGGGAATAGTTGAAATGACAAGAATCTAAAGATTTAACTTCCAAGCTTGGGCAAGTGAACATGGAGCACGATAAACCCAGCAATGTAGTTATGTATACTGTACATGTGTTACTGGAGCTATTTTCCAAAAAAACAATCATGATCCCAACTGACTTTCACTAACTCATTTTTGTTCAGAGGGGTGGCGAAAAAACGCCAACCAGCATATTATTGGTTATCATAATTCCTACCCTCTGGTTAGTTCGTTTACATAACGAACTGGAAAGATCCACCATTTTTAGAGGGTAAATCCACGATTTCTATGGCCAACCATGGGCACCGCAAGCGGTTCGCCAACCAATGGTCTGTGAAAAATCAACCCATCCCATCCAGACGCCCGGCGAGGGCGCAGAGATTTCCCGGGGGTTTGAAGGAAAGTTTTTCCATGCGGTTTACTGTGTGGCTGATATGAGTTAGTAAGTTTTTTTCACAAAATGTTGGATGACGTACCAAAAAATATGAAAATAATTTAGAATAAACATGTAAAAGCTTCAATTTCGATATCCCATGGATTATGAGCCCCACGTAATTCTTTCACGAAGAAAGAGTCCGTTTTTCCCGGACAAAAATCGTCCGTTTTTCCCGATGTCTTTCCGGGTCCCATGTCGGGTCCCCTGGGTCCCCTGGGTTCAGGAGATGGCAGAGCTCCGCAGCAAAGCGGCCAAGAAATTGGGTGCCTTGAAACACATCCAACGTGCGCGATTGCAGCGAGGAGACCGACCGGATGGAGTCGGATGGGCTGGAGAACTGGGGCAGAATCGCTGGTGAACTGTTTTTTTTTTGCCCCTTTTTTATGTGGGGATATAGGATATATGCGGGCTGAAAAATATCGCATATGCATGGGCACCAAAGAAATATTGAAAATGAAGATCCGGACATCAAAGTGAGCCTTGGCAATTACACTTTCCAACGGAATATCAACAGCATGAGAGTTGGGATGATCTGAACAGAATGGATCCGGCATCGAACAGGTGCACCCCCCTGGCATTGCCAATTGAGAAGGGACACATGCAGGGGTTCTACCTTTTTTGAGAGAAAACCATTGACATCATCTGCATCATCTCTAGTCTTTGGGGGCAAGGTCCACCAAACGAAAAAACATGTTATGAATTGCGACAAGACTCTCAGATTTGCTGCGGAATTTACCCTCTGGTTATTTAACATAGCCATGGAAAATGGCCCATTTATAGATGATTTTCCCAGCTAGAAACCTCCATAATAATGTTATAAATTCAAAGATTTCATTTAAACCTATATAATTAGATATAAAAACTTCAATTTCGGTGGTTTCAATTCCTATTTTTTGGTGCTTGCATCATTGGCTGAAATCCCAATGGTCAACGCAATGTTTTTCCAAAATTGTTTCTGTCTTTATCAGGTTTTACAACTCATAAATCATCATAAATCATCATAAATAATCATAAATCATCATAAATCATCATAAATCATCATAAATCATCATAAATCCCATAATGTTCCTCATAAATCTATAATCCATATATATATATATATATATGTATACATCCCATCAAAAGTTCCTCATTTTCTCACGTTTTTCGGTCCTCCCGGATGCGCTGGGGAGGCGATTGCGCCACACCGGCGGTTCCAGGGCCACAGCCCAGGATGGGTTCTGCGGGCATTTTAAGGTTCAACCATCAGAAATGGGGGATTTCCATGGGATTACCCTCTGGTTATGTCAACAGTTAGCTATAGAAAATGAGCCATAGAAATAGTTGATTTACCTATTGCAGATGGTGATTTTCCATAGTTATGTTAGTTTACCAAGAGGGTATATGGGATTCGAATCTGATTTTAGGAGGTTTCAGCATCAGAAATATGGGATTTTCATGGGAATTCGTGGGAAAAGAGGGATGATCCATAAATTCCGGTCTCTGAAAACACCAAGGTGCCATGATTAATGGGAAAAACCGGTCTGATAATATGGAGGTTTATAAGGGAAAATGATATTTTTTAATGGATGATTTGGGGTCACCCCTATTCTAGGAAACCCTCAATATTGGGTGAAGGTAAGTTGTTGTGCTCAGTCAGAGGAATTGACATCTACACTACGTAGTGAAAAAACAACTCATCGGCAGGGAAATTGTGAGCACGTCTCTCATCATGAAGGTTGAGAAGAAAACAACAACGGCAATGATTGTGGTGGTGATGGTCACGGTGATGGTGATGGTGATGGCGATGATGATGATGATGATGATGATGATAGCACCATTTATTCAACGAAACATGACTTGTGTGGTAGTTTAGACCTCTTTTTTTCCGCCATCTTGGGAGATGACCATTTCCAGGGTGAAAGGTCGACGCGGTCACAGATGGGCTGAAATGGGCCGGAAAACTTCAGTTTCGGAGCTGCAAATCGCACTATCCATTTTCACATGTTTCAGAGTTGTTTCTGGCTTTTGCATCATGGATAGATAGTATGTATATATATATAGATAGATAGATAGATAAATCTACGATAACTTGACCCATACTTGGGAATATCCGAAATAGTATTTTTGGTAAATACCTGAAAACTTTTGCAGTCGATTATGGGGCAGCTGACTTTGATTTGGGGACATCACTGTTAGGTCTGAATTGAACCAGGTATTTCTTCATATCCTAGTGCTCCCCATAGTTAGAACTCCCTGGGAAGTAGGACTGTATGTTATGAATTAGTACAAGATAGTACAAGTGCGACATTTGTTATACAAGAGAGGCCTGCGCACACCCGGGCCTGGAATCTGAAAGCAGCACTTGGACCAAAACTACGCAAAAATAATTAACAATATCGACATACGAACGTAAATCAACATATGCTCGCCGAAGAGGTTCCTTATAATACCAATAAGAATCAAATTCCTTCACTAAGAAGTCAATTGTGCAATCATGTTCAATCTGTAGCGTCGCCCCAATACAAACATCAATTAAAATGCGCTTGGCGAAGAAGTTCCCTGATAAGCACATTTTTTCGTTTATATCCAACCAATGGGACTCCCTAATCAGGACCAAAGTACCTATATACAAACAACTTTACATATAGTTTCACATTCATTTTGTAGCAACCTAATTTAAAGCCTCAAACACATGGCCTCTTTCATTATTTTACCATGTTACCAGCTAGGGTCAATAATCACATTAGCCAGGACTCAGAGTGATGGAAAACTTGAAAATGGCAAAAACCATTACCAAAAGATGTACAATTTCTACTTATTAACTAAAGGATTTTGAATGAAACCAATGCATAATTATAACCATGTATAGTCATATAGATAATTCGCTACAATAAGCCAAAAAATAAACTTACAGCGACTTGCTTTATGTTCCACATATATAATTATATCTATGTGATTTATCTTGAACTATGTACGTTCTGTCCTGCAAACATGCTCATGCACCCAGCATGCACTGTTCACATCCCAAATGCCCACGCGAGCAAGAAGCGTTAATCCATTTTCATGGTTAGGTAGACCGATTTTAAAACCCCAAGGTCCTCAAAGCCAGGATCCTAGATCATTTGCCATTGCGGCTAGTACAGGTTAAATTTCACATTGGGAAATGAACATGCAGCAGGGAATCATGGGTAGTCATGCATCACCAGATTTATGGATTTCCGCCGAAAAAAGCCCAGATCAGCAGAACTCAGGCGCACATTTTGTGATGTTGAGTTCCGCCGAAAAAAATATTTTCAGCAGAAATCCTAGAGAAAATCAGCAGAAGTCCACTACACAAAACCAGAAGATGAGTTCCGCCGAACCATACGTCTGAATACTAAGTTCCGCCGAGATTTTTTTTCAGCAGAAGTCAGGTACACAATTTGTGTAGTGGAGTTCCGCTGAAAAACAAAAAACTAAAGTCCGCATTTTTTTTTTGCAATCGATTCGGGGTCACAGGATCTCAATTTTCCGCCGAAAAAAAAAACAGCAGATCTCATGCCCCATAATCGGCCGCAACGATAAAAAAAAGCTCCACAAAGTCTGCAGAGATTTGTTTAGCAAACTAATCTGAGACTTGAATGCAAAGTTCTGAGCCCTAGACCCTACCCTACTTCTTGGCCATGGGTGGCACATGTGATCGGGAGGAACTTGCCTGGGTAACCCTTGGAAAATCGTGTAGACTTGGTGATGGGCAATATAACCACCCATTACCATGGTCTGGCCGCATGCTTTTTAAAAGCTCCACGGACAGAGGGTTTCATTTAAGTATTCCCTTCGCCCGCCCCCTAATAAATGCCCAATCCCACCTAAATAGGCAAAAACATGTTAAAGCATGCTAAAACTAGGTTAAAAAACGAATTGTAATTATAGTCACTAGGAAGTCATTTGTCCAATCATGTCCAGTCTGTAGTGTCGCCCCAGTACAAACATCAATGAAAATGCGCTATGCGAAGAAGTTCCCTGATAAGCGCCTTTCTTTGAAGGTCAAGCACAATTTGCTGCTTGAAGAGACCCTAATCAGGACCAAAGTATCTACTATTTTTTTTACATATATGATTCACATTCATTTTGTATCAACCGAATCCAAGCCTCAAACGCATGGCATCTTTTATTGTTGAGGTCCAAGACCACCATTTCAATCCAGTACGCCATTTAAGGTCAATAGTAGTAAAATTTATATTGAAATAATAAGGGGAAAACCCATGAAATTTGTGAAAACAATTGCGGGCAAATAGTTTCTATTAATTTCAGGAAACTTACCAAGAGCATGAAGGGGTGAAAGGGAATTATCCATTCAATCAAACTTAAATTTGGATGATCTATGACCCATGATCTAGATCCTGAGACCCCAATTCGATTGCCAAAGTTTCTGAGATGAATAGAAACTAAGGATTTAAGTTTCGGGTTTTGAACATGGACCAACAATGACCAAAATGAACCGAACAATTCAAGGAGTTAAATGTACCAACTCAGCTATAAATAACTATGGGCAACCGTGCATGTGGTTGTTAGCCTACCCGGTTTGTTTGGGATCAACACAACCTGTTTTCCTATATGACTTAGTGGGTCACAATCCATAGGTCCCAAGTCATTTGTCTACAAACATGCAGGGTTTCTTCATTTCTTCGGGAAAAAACGATGGTTTCCTGTTATTATAATCTCTACTCGTTGGTGGTTTCAAGCATTCTCCGTGCTGGACTTGAAGATATCTCCTGAGGTTTTTCAGCCAACTAGAACCAAGATCTGAGAGTTTTCACAGTCCTCCAAGATGGTTGCAATCCAACAGAAAGTCAATATATCATAACCCTGGACAATTTAAAACGACGTCACCGACGTCACCCCGAAATAACGACCTAGCCGCAGAAATAAACCGTCACCATACAAGTACATATAAATATATGTGTGTAGAGATATATATATATATATATCCAGCCTTAGTATGGGCAGCTACGGCTGGAAGATCCTAGTTTGTCAAAATAGGAAAAGGAGGTTTTCGGCGCGTTCAGAAGCAAGGTCCCTATTTTTCCAACTTTAGTATGGGCAGCTACGGCTGGAAAAATCGGTTTTAGGCGGCGAAGGCTGGACAAACAGAAAGATCCTAGTTTGTCAAAATAGGAAAATGAGGTTTTCAGCGCGTTCAGAAGAAAGGTCCCTATTTTTCCAGCTTTAGTATGGGCAGCTACGGCTGGAAAAATCGGTTTTAGGCGGCAAAGGCTGGACAAACAAAAAGATTTCAGTTTGTCAAAATAGGAAAACGTTTTTTGAAAGGTTTGGGATTTGTTTTTTGATGAGTACTAGGTTTGGGAGCCTCAATTTAAAGGAAAAATTGTCAAACAGGCTGTGCGAGCGCCCTGTGCGTTTCAAGCCTCCCGGCGCGAAAGCCGGGCATTTGTGAGCTCGGGCGGTTTTTGGAGAAGACGGTCAACCCGAACAGAAACGGGGAGTTTTTGAGACTTAGAACTGCCAAGTACCTCATGCATACTTGATGTTTTTCGGGGTGGGAAACTGAAGTCGTCAGCGCGTTCAGAAGCAAGGTCCCTATTTTTCCAGCTTTAGTATGGGCAGCTACGGCTGGAAAAATTGTTTTTAGGCGGCAAAGGCTGGACAAACAAAAAGATCCTAGTTTGTCAAAATAGGAAAATGAGGTTTTTTCCAGCCGTAGCTGCCCATACTAAAGCTGGAAAAATAGGGACCTTGCTTCTGAACGCGCTGAAAACCTCATTTTCCTATTTTGACAAACTGAAATCTTTTTGTTTGTGCAGCCTTTGCCGCCAAAAACCGATTTTTCCAGCCGTAGCTGCCCATACTAAAGCTGGAAAAATAGGGACCTTTCTTCTGAACGCGCTGAAAATCTCATTTTCCTATTTTGACAAACTAGGATCTTTCTGTTTGTCCAGCCTTTGCCGCCTAAAACCGATTTTTCCAGCCGTAGCTGCCCATACTAAAGCTGGAAAAATAGGGACCTTTCTTCTGAACGCGCTGAAAATCTCCTTTTCCTATTTTGACAAACTAGGATCTTTCTGTTTGTCCAGGCTTTGCCGCCTAAAACCGATTTTTCCAGCCGTAGCTGCCCATACTAAAGTTGGAAAAATAGGGACCTTGCTTCTGAACGCGCTGAAAAGGACCTAGCAGCCTTGCTGGGGTACAAATAGTTTTTTTTTTTCTGGTGTTATACAGAACGGATGCAGCAAATTAAGAAATCAAATCAGGTCCTGTTGTCGTATTAGGCCGACGTAAAATAATTTATTAATTCAGACGACGTCACTATTTCACCGGTAAAATTATTCGAATTAAGCGACGACCTGCGAAATATTATAATAATAACCCATATGCGAACCATGGTGCTGGTATATAAAAACCTACAGAACTGGGTGATTTTGGACAAGGGCAAATGTTGGTGTGCATATTCCAGCGCCATGGTTCGCATATGGGTAATATATCCAAGTTAACAACTATCACTCTCTCATATATTGTCGAAAGATCTGATAGAGAACAAATTGTGTTGGATCATGGATTTTTTGCCATTGGGTTTGTCAAAAAATAGCGTTTACCTCATGGTATCCATTGGTGAATCATCATTTTCGCTATTCAAAAACAACTTAAGTTTATGGATATATCCCTATTTTAAGACACACCCAAGTAATTCTGAACAGAAATCTCTGAAGAGAACCTCTGTTCACAAGGATTTTTTTGGGGGGGGTCACAGGAGATGAGCTCGGCAACTGAAACACATCCTCTCCGTGCGCGGCAGGTGGAGATCCGCTGGAGTGCGGGACAGGGCTGGATTCAAAATTCGAGGCTAAAAACCACCAAAAGATAGGGATTTAGACAAGAACATGTGGGGAGATTGCATAAAAACACGGGCTTTAATCAACAAAATATTGAAATTGGCAGAGTTTGCCACTTTTCATGAAGATCTGGACATCAAACCACTACAGTGAGGCCATGGGCCATGGTGGAAATTGTCGTCGAATTTTTCCCGCTTCATGGGATGGTCTACGAATCCTTAAGTCGTGGCATCCGCAGGATTTCCAGGGTGTTTTTGAATCGTGTTTGATCATAGGCTGAAAGACCACTTCTATGCACCAGGAAAGGCGTTCACAAAGAGTGATGGCCCCTATATGGCCCTATGATCACTCAGCACTCAAAGACCTCTTGAAGTCAATTTGAATGTTGTATAATGGTGTTTGAAGAGTGAGACCATTTAATCTATTTTCGGATTTCCAAAAACTACTAACGCATTTCTGGAAAATTGGCTGAACAACCCAGGGGCGAAAGCCCTGCCACGCAATGTCGACTGATAGCCTTGGTTATATGACTGCACCCTCTGATGTTTCTGAACAGGGGGGCAAACTGCCTCAACTTGCCCTGGTGGAACTTGAGGTTCGTGGCTTGAATGGTGAATTGGTGCGAACGAAGCTCCCTGCAGTTTGCACCGGCAAGCAAGTGCGAAAGATGGTCGCGGAGAAACTCCCATCAAGACCAGGTGCGAAATTCCTGTTGTCTCACGGAACTTCCCAGTTGTTGATGCTCGACAGGACATTGCCAGAGCAAGGTATTGTAGACCAGCAGGTCACATTGAACTATACCATGTGCCCAACAGATTTGTGTGCTGCATGGTCCTTTGTCACAGGAACTATACCAAGCCAAGAAGAGGCACTAGAGGGGTTGACACGCATAGAAGGTGCCACAACAAGTGACTACTTGCGCCACCTCCCAGAGACTCTGCAAACCTTAACGTTTGGTAACACATTCAACCGGAAGCTGCAAGGCATGACCTTCCCAAGCAATCTGGTGAGCTTGACGTTTGGTGAACATTTCAACCAAAACCTGGTGGGTGTGACCTTCCCCAACAATTTGCAGAGCTTGACGTTTGGGGAACAGTTCAATCAGAACCTAGAAGGCGTGACCTTCCCAAACAATCTGCTGCGCTTGACATTTGGCAAGAAGTTCAACCAGAATCTGGAAGACGTGATCTTACCAAGCAATCTGCAGAGCTTGACATTTGACCTTTGCTTCGACCAAAATTTGGGGGGCATGACCTTCCCAAAAAATCTGCAAAGCTTGACGTTCGGCTCATATCTCAACCAGAACTTTGTGGGCGTGACATTCCCAAACAATCTGCAGAGCTTGACGTTTGGTCATGGATTCAACCAGAAGCTGGAGGGCGTGATCTTCCCAAGCAATCTGCAGAGCTTGACGTTCGGCTTTTGCTTCGACCAGAATCTGGAGGGTGTAAACTTCCCAAGAAATCTGCAGAGCTTGAGGTTTGGTAGTGAATTCAACCAGAAGCTGGAGGGTGTAAACTTCCCAAGCACACTGCAGAGCTTGACGTTTGGCTCTAGATTCAACCAGGACCTGACGGGCGTGACTTTCCCAAGCAATCTGCAGAGCTTGACGCTTGTTGGACATTTCAACCAAAACCTGCAGGGCGTGACCCTCCCAAGCAATTTGGTGAGCTTGACGTTTCGTTGTGGATTTAACCAGAAACTGCAGGGCGTGACCTTCCCAAACAATCTGCAGAGCTTGACATTTGGCTCTACATTCAACCAGGACCTGACGGGCGTGACCTTCCCAAGCAATCTGCAGAGCTTGACGTTTGGTGATGGGTTCAGCCAGAACCTGGAGGGTGTGACCTTCCCAAACAATTTGGTGAGCTTGACATTTGGTTTTAGGTTCAACCAAAACCTGGAGGGCGTGACTTTCCCAAACAATCTGCAGAGCTTGACATTTGGCCACGAGTTCAACCAAAGCCTGGAGGATGTGACTTTTCCAAGCAATCTGCAGAGCTTGACGTTTGGCCACGAGTTCAACCAAAGCCTGCAGGATGTGACCTTTCCAAGCAATTTGCAGAAGTTGACATGTGGTTTTAGGTTCAACCAAAACCTGCAGAATGTGATCTTGCCAAACGATCTGCAGAGCTTGACGTTTGGCCACGAGTTTATGCAGAACCTGGAGGGCGTGACCTTCCCAAGCAATTTGCAGAGGTTGTCGTTTGGTTATGAGTTTAACCGGAGCCTGGAACACGTGACCTTCCCAAGCAATCTTCTGAGCTTGACGTTTGGAAAGGAGTTCAATCAGAAGCTGGAGGGCGTCACCTTCCCAAGCACACTGCAGAGTCTGAAGTTCGGCGACGAATTCAACCAGAAGCTGGAGGGCGTGAGCTTCCCAAGCACCTTGCAGAGCTTGACATTTGGTTCTAAGTTTACGCAGAACCTGGAGGGTATGAACTTGTCAAATAGTCTTCGGATGTTGGTGGTGCAGGGTCTAACCGTGAGCTGCCTGTGATTTCTTTTGGCGAATGAAAAAGCTCTGGAAGTGCTCCTTGATCAACCAACCCCTATATTTATTCAGGGTTTTTCCCCTTCTATGTGACTGGTTTCCCATCATTTCAAAAGGAGTCAAACCTCTGAATCGGGATATTTTAAAAAAATGGGGAAGCAACCTGCAAGGTGCTGACACCCTCTTCTGTTTGCTGGTTTGTAACCCCCATTAGCATCCATTAGCTAGTTCTAAATATCTATCATGAACCCAACAGTTGTGGGATTTGTGTTTACCAAACTTATCAACTTGGTTAACAATTTCTTGGCACCACCCAGTATTGCAATGAGTCAACCTTATTTGTTATATTTTGTTTTAACTTTTTTGATTTGTTTACAATGTTTCATGGCTCAAATTCTATTGTTGATTCTTCATGGAACCCTGGGGGGGTAAGGGGGGGTAAGTAGGTTATCATATAAGAGCCTAATAAGGGCTTATCATATCAGATATACCCAATGCCAGGGAAAACTGTCTTTATTCCCTGGTCCAACCATGAATGAAACAAGAGATCCTTATCCAAGGTTGCTCAGGGTTGGTTGAAAATTGAGAAGGGCTTATTAAGGGCTTATCCAGGGCTTAAAGGATAAGCCCTGGATAAGCCTTGGATAAGCCTGTTTACCAACCTAATTTGCCTCCCCCCCCTCCCCAAAATCCCCCAAAATCCCCCCAACCCCCAACGTACCCAATCACCCTCCGATCCTCACCCAAACCCTCCCAGACCCTCCCCAGGCCCTTCCCCTCCCCAGACTCTCCCATACCTTGGTCCTGTTCAGAGCTTAAAGGATAAGCATCTATTAAGCTTCTAATAAGCGCTTATTAAGATTTTATTAAGCTTCTAATAAGGGCCTTACACAGAAGCCCCTAATAAACCTTTATATGATAAGCTACTTACACCCCCCCTTACCCCCTTACCCCCCCAAATTCCATGAATTCTTGAGGTTGGTTGGTTAAATCCGAACAAAAATCGCACGATACCATTGATATCCCCATTGCGTCCTATTACACCACCCAGTCTTACGTGTGTTTTTTTCCGAGTATTTCTGCGTTTTTTTCACAATTCTATTTTTTCACAATCATGAAATGTATGCTCACTATAGATCCCAATATGTTCCCTTCCACCTTCCCATCTTCACTTCTTGAAAATTCGGTCTTCTTTGGAAGTTTAGATAGATTCTACAATGTTGGGCCCCCAAGATCGCTAAGTTGGTTTATAACTACAATATACTATATACAATAACTATGGTTTATGGGTGATGTAATATATCGATAGTTAATGGGCTAATAACCTTGCAGTTTTCTCAGCCTTTCTTTCCGGCCCTTCACGTTCCACGGCTGCCGAACTCAGGCACAAAATCACGCCAGAAATGGGTTCCGGGACCACCGTCCAGGCGCAAGTCTTCCTCAGAAATCCCATGGGGAAAATGCGGGGAAAATGCAGAAATCTTGGAAATCATGGAAAATCCACTTAAAATTGAGTTTTAAATGGATAACATATGATAACATCATATAAAATATAATATAATATAATATAATATATTATATATATATACACAGTATAATATATGGTGGATTTTCCATTGCCATGAATGAAATCCACCAGAAATGGGTCGCACACCGTAAAACCGCACAAAGAAAATCAAAAACTACTGTACCCAAAGGTGGATTGTTTTTTCGGGGTCTGGACACATATCCAGGCATTGCATGATCTTTGATTGGAGGTATACCAAGGGAAATCACCTAGTGTGGGTTTTCTTTTGATATTTGCTGCAATCCCACGTGATGCAGTAATCGCATCATATCGCAACTTTTGTAGTTCCTTTGGTCACCAAGTGAGTATATACAGGTAGTCGAAGGTTGAAACCGCAAATGTCAAGACCTGTTGGACCGGCATTTTTCAAATCTATAGGGTTTGTTCAATTAGGGTTACCCCAAAACAATCCAAAACATATAACTTGGTATTGAAACATATTGAAACCCATGGTGACGACTGGGGTACCATGACAAAACGGAAACCTCCTGCATCACACAGCCTTTGATGCACTGAAATCACCGAGGGGTAAACGAACTGAATGTAATCAGCTTGACATCGGTTTAAGTCTTAGAATTCCTCATTCAGAATGCACGTCATCTATGTTTGCCGGGTATATCAAGTATAGTACCCTCTGGTTACTTCACATAACTATGGAAAATGACCAATTTATAGATGATTTGCGTTACCAATTCAAAATGATGGTTTTCCATTCCATAGCTATTTTAAGTAACCAGAGGGTAACATGTTGAATTTGCCATTGGATTTCTGAAATGAATTCTACGTTTCTGTATCGTTTTCAGGATTGCCAAGGTGGAATTTGGTTTAAATCCTACTGTTGATGGCTAGTCTTTTTTTTCCTGATTCTAATCCCATGCCTGGTGTCTTAAATCTCATGAAAAGGCCCATGATATCCCATCACTAAAATGTCCACATTAAAATCATCTTTTTAATAATTACTAACAAAATTACTAACAAAATTACTAACAAAATTACTAACAAATCACTATGGTCATATCCCATATGCTCCATGGTGCTGGTATATAAAACCTACAAAACTGGGTGATTTTGGACAAGGGCAAATGTTGGTGTGCATATTCCAGCACCATGGTTCGCATATGGGATATGAGTAAAAAAGATCCGAAGATCCACCACCATTTTGCCCGCCAGGAAGCCGAAGATATGGTGGCTGGAAGTGGTTTGACCTGTTAAACAGGCGCCGTTTCACGGCCCGCCTCAAGCGGCGCGGCTGGGGGGTCAGATGGGTGTTTCGCCAAGCATCGAAGAGATAGGACGTGATACACAGTTAAGGATGCTCAATGATGTTTAATGATTGTTAACAATGGTTAGTTGTGATAAGTATCATAGAGGGTTGCTCCAACCCATCATAGGTAAGTGATAGCCACTAACTTGGCTGGTAAATTGGTTGTTTTACCATGTTTTACCTCTATATTTAAGCATTGTTTAGCCAATTGACACCCCTTGAACCCTGGTGTTTGGAGAAACCTAACACGGGTCCACGTTATGGGACGGATTACCATAGACAACGGATTACCATGGACAACTTGTAGCGCAGGACCATGGCACAACTTTATGCTTTTTAACATTGATAACATTGATTTGTATGGAAGAAAAACATGGGCATATTCGTATATTATTGCGGTTTTTTGTGGAACAAATATGGTATTTAAAATGACATTATATAACATTTATGCCCTTTTTGTGGAACACATATGGGCATTATGGTATACCCATGTGGGGAATGGATGAATACTGAGCTGTGGGTGAGGGTCTTTGGGAGCTGGTGAGTCTGAAAATAGGTCCCTAAATCTATTGGTTGATGATCGTTTTCCTATATAAATATAAACCAAATGCCATATGTACTTTGCTGCATTTAAGGAATGCTTGGAAGAAGAACATGTGGAAAATAGAGGATGACAGGTTGGGATTATTTGACCATGTTAAATGCACCTTAGTATATGATTGTAAATATATATATATATACCACCTGGTAAATAAACAGACCCTGAAAATAACCAATTCTTAATGGAAGCTAATCTTCCAAAACCTATCTGACAGGGTCAAATTGTTAATTTACCTGATGCTAATTGCGGGTATCGAGCGTTTTTCCGATCTCCAAGATTGGCCATGAGTTGTAGCTGAGTGCACCGACGAAATTGCCTTAACTGTGGAATTGCTGGGAATTCTAAGTTGAAAACCGATTGAGCAGTGTAAAGCAATACCTTGTTGTTTTTTATTAGCACATGGGATGATGTTGCCTGGCACATAGTTATTGTTCATTGTCTGGTTGTATAGGAACCATTTTTTAAGCAATCAGCGTACATTTTTTGGCGGACTCACAACGACCTCAGCACTGCACAGCTCAGTTTCTGACCTTTTCGAATTGGTTATAAAAAGCATGCCAGAAAACAATGCGCTTAGTATACATAATTCTGGGTAAATTTCATCACGACCTCACTGTTCTCCCTCACTGGGAATCATGGTTTATTTTAGGGAAATCATCCCCAAATGGCCGAACAATTCAGGCTAGTGAAATATTATAATTTACCCGGATAATTGATTAAATATTCTTTACATCCAAGCGGGTCTGTCTGAAACCTCAACCAGTGCCATTCCATCCACTGAAGTTAGTCGCAACTACCCCCATGGAAAAACTGCAAAACTGCCATGAATTGGGTGCCACTCCACCAGTTTGAGACTAACCCAAGTAGTATTCATTCTTCAGATGTTCATTGTCACGCCCAAGTACGTGAGTAGATCATTCCCGAAACCTGACACAGTCAGCTAAGACCCATCAGCCAGGTTCAGTCAAAGAAGTTTTGATTTGGCACGCAGCCAGGGTATTGCCGTGGTGTCATGTTTCACTGACGGTTGTTTTTTGCATAGTGCAGGATAGCATGGTGATATAACCGTCCAACAGAATCGGGTTGATGTGTTTCTCGTCAACTCCCAAAGTGCAAGACATACCCTCTGGTTATTTAACATAGCCATGGAAGCCATGGACCATTTGTAGATGGTTTACCTATTGATAGCATGGTGGATCTTTCCATGGCTATGTTAGTCATAACCAGAGGGTACCTTTCTACACCAGTCCCCCGTTGTACACCATGTTGAATCTTTTCTTGGTGAAACCATTCTAATTTTCTTGGTATTTTTTTTGTGATGAAGCTACAGTCATTGCCCTTTTTGAATTATGTTAAATCCACAATTTTCACGGTTATGATTATCCTCACGGTTACCCATAGGATCCATGTATGCTATATATGACAACATTTACCATCAATATACCGTCAATGTTAGCATATATACCATACATGGATCCTATGGGTTATGATGATCCCGAGTTTTTCCATGCTTCGCAACTTTTGCTGGTGAGTTTTGCCGCTTCTTATGCCCGATTTTTTGATGACGACACCACACCTGGTTGTGTCCGCGGCCATCGAAGAGGAGGGCCCATCGTCATGGGGGTTGGGATTTTCGGTACACCACTCGACTTGTCTTCAACACCGTTGGTTGATGATTAGTGGTTGGTGGTTTGGAACCTAAGCTTAATAATATGGTGGTATTGATGTTACTGGTTGGCAAACTGACATAGCTTAATATCTGCTTGGTGGTTTGGAACATGAATTGTATTTTCTATTTCATTTATGGGATGTCATCCGAAACCCATTGACCTTCACTCCATCATTTTTCAGGATGGTGAAATTGCACCACCAACCAGGTTGGTTGATGATTGCTGGGAGTTTTGCCAATTTTTGAGAATCATGGAATCGGCAGCAAACACTTTCCAAACAGTACCCTCTGATTATGTCAACAGTTTGCGAACTTGAACATAGCCCAGTTGAAATCGTGGATTTACCCATTGATAGCATGGTGGATCTTTCCAGTTCGTTGTGTAAACGTTTACCAGGCCGGGTATAATATGGGAACTGAATCCCCATCTGGTTATTTGACATAGCTGAAGATCCCTGAGCCAGCTATGGTTTCATTGGAAAAATCCTCGGACCTGTAGGGAATTGTCCGCAAAGAACCAGAGGCGGATTGGGGATCTATTATGTCTTTGGTAAACTAACATAGCTATGGAAAATCACCATGTTTAATGGGTAAATCAACGATTTCTATGGCCATTTCCAATAGCTACGTTAAATTACCAGAGGGTATGTCTTTGGCAAATATCTGAAATGAATAGAAACTACAGATGAAAGGTTTTGGGTTCAACATGGACCAAGAATGACCAAGAATAGGCATGTGAAGATTCCAACATGTGTATAACATCTAGTGTACTTATAGACTTTAGATTTATGCTACAATATAGAAATATACAGTTGCGCTATATATAACTGAATACATATGCACATACATATATACAGGCATCAGTTTTGGATGTGCTTTTCCCGGAGATACCGTTTCGATTTCAAGGGTATAGATCCCCTCCTTTCGTTTTCTCCGACTAAATCGTGTGGGCATGATAGTGAGCCATGGAGATATCCCCTCATTGGCAAAGACTGTTTCGCCAAAGTCTATGCATGGACTCGGTATATATACATATTTATGATTATCGTATTATTTTTATATTATATATTTTGTACATATTAATAATATGTATGATGATTATTGTACCCTCTGGTTATTTAACATAGCCATGGAAAATGGCCCATTTATAGATGATTTTCCCATTTAAACCTTCATTATAAGGGATTTTCCATGGCTATGTTAAATAACCAGATGGTATATATATATGAGTATAATATCATAGGGGACATTCCATAAATATCCATTAATATTGTTATATACTATATACGTATGGCCATGAATTGGGGCAAGAAATCCTTCATTCTTCGCTAATGGAGATCACGAGCCAAGTCAGCCATCCCAACCATCGCATGGCGACGACACGCGACAGTGCGACAGACGGCCCATTGGATGATTATTATGTTCTGAGTGATGCAGTCACACGTCATACCTGGTAATGATATATATATGTTCATATATATATATTAATATATCTTCATTTACATATATATATTATATTCACATATATATATATATATATTCAAATATATATATATATATCTCTTCATATATATATATATACTGTATATTCACTTGTATATATATATACATACATATATTCATATATATATATATATATATATATATCGTCACACACGTATATATATATATATATACATATTCGTATATATATATACATATATATATACATGTTAACTTCATAGCCAGTTGTAGCATATCATAGCCAGCAAATACAATCATACACAAGTGAAGATCCTCCAAGTATTCCAAGTTTCCTGTCCCCAATGGTTACCCTGTGGTAAACTAACATAACTAGGGAAAACCACGATTTATTATGGGTAATTCAACTATAAATGGCCATTTTCATTAGCTTTTTGTATGTTTACCAGAGGGTAAGACATGTTAATCATGTTAAGACGCAAGACTTGGGGTGCTTCTAATTGGACCATTCGCATGATTTGTTATTGATCCTCGCTCTTAGGCAGTCATCAACTTATCTCGGGGATGAACATCATTTTTTGACGTTCAACGGGGTACATGGGGTTTTCATCCATAGCCAATCGTTTGAACTGTTGATCAAAGAGTAAGCCTCCAGCATGCTTGATCTGGATCTGAGGCAGGTTGCAAGAGTCCTTTTTTCGAACCTCAAATCCTGCTGGTATACCCTCCAGTGATACACAAAGAGATGAAGAATCCATCGTTTGCAGATCATTTTCCGTAGGAAACCATTGGTTTTCCAGATCTTTTTGTTAGTTTAGCCTAGGGCAAATCGCACCCTTCAAATGTGTGACCCAGGATGGGCTGGGGATCAAAGAACTTCCAAGCCATTTTTTGATATGTACTGGTCTTAGTAGCTTTTATATTCATTGGACTACAGTATATCATTTTTGTTATATTATATTATATTAAATTATATTATATTATATTAAATTATATTGTATTATATTGTATTATATTATATTATATTATATGATAGTCTATTCTATTGCGTAACTAGTTCCACTATGTTCCACTATATCATACCATATTTGATTTACAATTATGTTATCAATCTTATCTCAAAGATCTCTACTTTTTGCAGCTTCTTAGAGTTGAAGCCTTCCACACGAACTCGTTGCGTTGAAGGACGCGATGAAGCCTCGTGGGGCCCACTTCAACCTTGCCATTGCAAGGAGGGCATGGAACCCATGGAACCCTGAGGGACTGAGAGATGCGACCCATCCATTGTGAATATTATGGTAGATGGAATACATATCCATCAATTGTCGTGTTTCAGATTGTTTCAGTATCTTATCAATCATATCCACCATTAATTTAATTTACAATTATGTCCCATGGGGACACATCGCCCATTTCCATCCATTTCCGGTATACCAAGAATGGAATTATCATGGATAATGAGCATTTCAGGATTTAAGCCATAGCATGGTGGCTTACCCAGTGAAAAAAAGGTGCCGTGGTGCCCCAGTTACCAAAGTTGGTGAAGAACTTCGAGAATTCTCGGAGGTAAGGTAGGTACCCTCTGGTAAACCTACAAAAAACGATGGAAAATCACCATGTTTAATGGGTAAATCAACTATAAATAGCAAATTTTCCAGAGCAAACTGTGAGTTTATCAGAGGGCATTCATGTTTGCTCCAGGCTCTCGCGGTCCGAAGGGGTTCCATTCTTTCTGCCACGCAGAAATCGCTTTTGATGGCCCACACTGCGCGGTCGGTCGCAGGGAGGATCGTCTTGGCGACGTTGGATCTCCAGTGGTGGAAAAAACATCGAACGCGTTTAGGATGAAGCTACTGGAGGTAAACCAAAAACCATCGATGGTTGCATAAAAAACCATCGAATACAGGAATTGATAGTAACCTACTGGAGGTTGATTTGGGTATGGATCAATACCTATTAATACCATTTTTAGTGGGATGAACATCCATTTACCAGCTATTTTGATGTTCACCAGGGGTACAAGGTTTTGACACACTGCCATTTGTGTTTTACCTACATTTGACCATATACCATGATCCAATCGTGGTTGTAAACCAAAAACCCGAAGCAGATAGGAATTCAACCAATCATGGGATGAAGCTTTTTTCGGTGCTGAAAAGTGACACATGTCTCATCTTCCAGTAGGAATTTATAGAATTTATCAACTTCTATCTTTTTCATGGTTAATTATCAACTTCTATCTTTTTCATGGTGAATTATCAACTTCTATCTTTTTCATGGTTAATTATGAACTTCCATCTTTTTCATGGTTAATTATCAACTTCTATCTTTTTCATGGTTAATTATCAACTTCTATCTTTTTCATGGTCAATTAAGTTAATTACTGCTGAAATAAGTATTGTTAAAATTACTTTTTGAGGATGCCGGGAATCCAGAAGGACTTGTATAGTCAAGCATCACAACATATTTACGTCCAAAGTGCCCAGGGTTATTACTTCGAAGATCATTGTGCATTCACACCCAATCTCTGCGTGACCGTGCTGTGTCTTTCTATCTCTTTACTTAAAGTTTGCTGGTTGGTGGTTCGCACAATGTCTCAGAACTCATACAATGATATAAGTATTTGCACCAACTTGAGCCAATTTGATTTCTACCACGGATTTTTATTTTATAGATCCCCACTATTTGATCTAATCATTCGAATCGAACACACCAAGCCATGGAATTTCTGATGGACACTAGCGATGCTGCACCGAATTCACTGCAAGCGTCCTGGCTGACGCCGCGCCTGGCCATCTGTCGGGCCGTCAGCGGATCCTGGCGGCGTTCCGCGCCGGCGCGGAAGGCTGGGTGTCAACCGGCCACAGTGCCGGAGCTGCCAGTGGAAGACCAGAGATCGGCTTGGAT